AACCAAACTATTAATGTAAGGATGGGTCAATAATTAGATTGAAGAATTGACAAATAAAATATGACAACATTTAGATTAATATGTTTAAAAGAGATCAGTTTCTCAGTTTCTCAGATATCTCTCTCTCACACCCACACAAGAAATAACTGATGTCTTATTCACCAACAATGGATTAACTACTGAAGTTCTAGTACTTTATTTGATCAGGCAGGAGATGCCAACTGGAGTTCAAGGCTTGGTGGCAGCTAAGGTGTTCCCAATGTCAATGACAAATCGGTATCTAACTTCACCTTTTGCAAGTCGCTCCATAGCAGTGTTGACATAATCTATGGAGATTACCTCAATGTCTGCGGTAATGTTGTGCTTTGCTGCAAAATCTATCATCTCCTGTGTCTCTTTCATCCCTCCAATGCTGCTCCCAGCCACCAACTTCCTTCCTGTTTTTCAGGTACGTCATTAGTTTTTTGGGGCCTCTATATATCAAATCCCAAAGAGGAAATGGATAGAGATAAAATGCATCCGATTTTTTAAGTGCTTTTCTAAACTTACCCATAACCAAAGGAAAGACAGGTAGCTCAAGTGGCTTGTCAGGCACACCCACCATGATAAATTTCCCATTGGACTTCAGTAGACCAATCAATGGCAGAATGGGATGAACAGCAGAGACTGTGTCTATGATTCCATCCAATGTACCCATGGCAGCCTGCTCGGTTCCCATATATAAAAAATCAATCAATGGTTCGCATGAAGTTAAGAATTCTGGATAAACATCAATATGTGGGAGCAATAATGCTAGACCTGATCCGGTTATTGATTACCTCCATTTGGTCCAGGTCACGGCTAACCAAAAAGGAGTCAGCACCGAGATGCTCCAGAGCTTCATTCTTCTTGCTTGGAGAGGTGCTGATTACAGTTACTTTGGACCCCAAAGCCTTGGCAAATTTAATAGCCAGATGACCGAGGCCACCAAGGCCAACGATGCCAATGTGCTTTCCAGGTTCTGCCAGTCCAAAGTATTTCAGTGGACTGTAGACTGTGATTCCAGCACATAGCAATGGTGCAGCAGCATCAAGCCGGATGCTATCAGGGATGTGAACAACAAATTGTTCGTTGACAACCATGAAATCAGAGTAGCCTCCATATGTCCTTGTTCCATCATGGTAAGTTGCATTATAAGTAAGGATCATTTTGGGACAGTAATTTTCAAGGTCATTAGCACAGTTGTTGCAGGAGCGGCAGCAACCAACCATGCATCCCACACCCACTATGTCTCCGACCTTAACTTTGTTTACTCTGCTGCCTACCTCTGTTACTTCCCCTACAATTTCATGCCTGCAAAGTCAAAGTAATAACGTTTGCGTTTTGGCCTTTGTTGAGTTACTACTTTTTAAGCTTTCTGAAGTCTAAATTTGTGTCTAAACATCCCTCATCTCAGGTAAAGTAGATATCATTTTCTATTCAAATTAATTTTCTTGTTAAAGGTCCTTAGTGCTCGACATGTACAATGGTGCATAGCTTTGGGATAACATTATAATGCCCTCTTTGGAAAGTTTGGCAAGTTTTGTAAAATATTACATGCTCTGTCGCGTCCACAAACGCATAGTCTTTCAGTCTTTAGAATGACATTGCAAAGATCGAAAGAAGGCCTTACCCAGGTACCACAGGGAACTCAGAGAAGCCCCACTCATTCTTGATGAAATTAAGGTCTGAATGACATATTCCACAATACAACACCTTAAATCTAACATCCTCTTCGCTAGTTGCTCTGTACAGACAACAGCAGCACAAGTTGAAACATCCATTATAACATGACTATAACCCCATATTTTTCAAGGATATCATATATATAATCAAGCCAGAAGAATGAGAGAACCAGAGGAATGATCACCTTCGAGAGAAATTGAAAGGGGAAAGATGACCAGATGTTTCTCTAGCAGCCCAGCCAAAGGCTTTCACAGGATGCTCTTCTTCTGGTAACTTGGCCATTTTGTACGGTAGGTTTTCACACAGGAGGAAAAGGAGGAGCGAGATGAATTGGGTATTGCCAATAATGTTTTTGCCTTGTCCATGAATAATTTGGCTTGCAATATATCGAAGTGGGTGAGCAAAATTACTGAAGTATGCCGGCCATTTTATCTCTTGGTTATGATGTGTCAAATACTATCCAACTATCCAATATGATTTTTTTAATTTGTCTGGAGGATATTGCATGGAATAATTAGATAACTAGATTCCACAAGTTCTAAGTTGCGTAAGTGGCGTTCCATGTGTCGTTAAATGACATCTTATCTTATGGTGGGGAGTTTTTCAAATCTCACATCTTTTAATTTTCTTCCTTTAATTTCTCATATCCGAGAAATTTCAGGTAAAGCAATTGATTGCTTCCCATATGACGTTCCTCACTAGACTCGAATTTGAGTTCTCCCCATTTCTCCACCCTCCACCATATAACTTTGGTGAAAAAAAAAAAAAAATCCCATATTCAAAAAAAGAAAAAGAAAAAGAAAAATGGATGATTAGATTCTCTCCATTTCCATCAGCGAGGGCCTAGCCCGGTTAGTCACTTTAATTGTGCCAAATAAACGGATTAATCACAGATATTATGTCATGTTTCTACAATATAATCACATAACTAACACACACCATATTTTACAGGAATTTCCCCAGTTTGGATTGGAAAACTACCTGATATAATATTATTTTAACTATATATAAAATTACTATAATGATAATTTTTTAAATTCTTAAATAAATACTCATTGGACTTTAAAAAAATTCTCAATAAATATCTAATGAATTAAAATTTTTTTTAATAAATACCTAATAATTTAAAAAAAAAACATTAATTACTTATTAGAAAGTAGTTCAAATCTAATGTATTAATATTCAAATATATCAAACCTTACTGAGATTTACTTTTTACAAAATTTAGAATACATTTGAAATTATTATAAAGTGTTATGCTTGTAATTATAATTGTAATTGTGCTGAACTATATTATATTGTAGTTGTTATTGAAGTTATTTAAGTGTTTGGTTATTTATTTTTTATAAGTATTATACATGAAAAACAATAAATTTTATTAATTATTAATTAAAATTTTAAAAATATTGTAAGATATATAATTATTAAAATAAATAATATTTACAATTTTTTAACAATTTAAGTTTTTTAGATTTGTTATCATTATTAAAATATTATAAATTATAATTTAATTAAATTATATAAAATTAAGTTTTAATTGATAATTTTATAATTATATTAAATATTAAATGTTTTAATTAAAAATTACAATCATAAAGTTTTGAAATGAAAATTTTAATTTTATATATAAAATTATTATAAATACTATGATTTTTAAATATTACGAGTTGAGACTCGAAACCCATACTCCTAAATCTTAATATAAGAAAGATCTAACGAGGAAATGGTGGCCACTACCCTATTAGGGCATTCTCGAATACTGAATTACTTAGTTATCTCTTTGAATCCATTTTACTTGCAAAAATTAGCAATTGGGTCGCCCCACGTGACTTTCAACTTCCCATCACCGTTAATCTAACAGCTCTGTTAAGAAAATAATAATTAAATCCAGATAAGCTGCTACGTGGACAGATAGCGCCAAATGGCCAAATTCGTCCACAACGTTAATTCTGCCACAAAGCCTTAATCCCCAAATTCGTAGCGAAATGGCAGCTAATTGAAGGAGAAAAACAATATGATGTTCGGTGCACGGAACAACACCAG